TCTAAGGATGGTGACTCAATCACTTCCCTGGACAGTCCAGGGAATCCTGGGCTGCATCCACAGGAGTGTGGCTAAAGCACTGGAGCATATCCCTGTGAGGACAGGCTGAGGGAGTTGGGGCTGCTGAGCCTGGAGAAGGTTGTGTGGAGACCTCAGAAGGGGAGGGGCAATGGGGACAAATTGAAACAGGGAAATTGAGGTCAGATGTTAGTCAGAAGTTTTCCCTGTGAGGGTGGTGAGACCCTGTGCCAGGTTGCCCAGGGAGGCTGTGGCTGCCCCAAGCCTGGCAGTGTTCACAGCCAGGTTGGCTGAGCCTTGAGCAACCTGCTCTGGTGGGAGGTGTCCCTGTCCAGGGCAGGGGTTGGGGCTATGGGGACAAATTGAAACAGGGAAATTGAGGTCAGATGTTAGTCAGAAGTTTTCCCTGTGAGGGTGGTGAGACCCTGTGCCAGGTTGCCCAGGGAGGCTGTGGCTGCCCCAAGCCTGGCAGTGTTCACAGCCAGGTTGGCTGAGCCTTGAGCAACCTGCTCTGGTGGGAGGTGTCCCTGTCCAGGGCAGGGGTTGGGGCTGGATCATCTCTCAGCTCCATTCCAACCCCTAAAATTCTCTGGTTCTATGAATTAGATTAAATGCAACATGTTGCTTTTCACACTGATTTTCTTCTTCAAAACACATAGAAGTCAGCTCTCCAGAGACTTTCCAGTATCTCAGTTGCTGCAGGAAGGACCTGGCCTGTAATTTTACAGAGCTTCCATTTGAAGTCAGAAAGTCATTCCAGTGCAGCTGGACATGGCACAGCACAGAGTCTGGCAGAACTTGCTTCTCACTGTCCCAGGATAGGCTGCATTGGACAGGTAGGAGAGCTTGTGACATCAGAAAGGAGGTCAAAGTATGCAGAGCTACACACACCCTTCAAGAACATACAACCCTCAATGATAAGCCACAATTAGGTAGGCAATATAAGCCATTATTGGACAAGGAGTGCTCTTGGTATGTTTTCTTTAGAGGTGTGAACGATTCCTGCCTGATAGCACAAGTATTTCATTTCCTGCAATCAAAGAGCAGGGTCCTAGCAGCAGAAGGGAAAACGCAGCCCCTTGCTCTGAAAGGTGTGTGTGGGATTAGCTCACAACTCAGTTCCCTGCTGAGCCAGGGGCAGCTGCCCAGTCACTTCACACAGGAGCAGAGACTACTGGGAGGAAGAAACTGCTTCAGTTGCACCTCAACATAGGCCAATGCAAGTCAACTGGTGGCAATTAAATGTGGCTGAACTTTACATCTTGACCTCTCTGTGAGAACATGTTGCCTTTTCATACTCACTTGCCAACAAAATCCTAATCATACCAGTCTTTCTCATCTCTTCCATGAGACAAAAACACATCCCTGCAATGCACAGAACAAGCATCAGGTGGTGAGAAGTCAGGGACCAATATGTATGCAATGAACAACTCAGTGTCTGTAGTCACATTAACAGAGCCCTTGGCAGTGCTGGGCTAATGGTTGGGCTCGATGATCTCAAGGGTGTTTTCCAACCTAAATGGTTCTTTGATTCCTTGTTTATGGGTGGCACATCACCACCTGTTTCTGGAATCCTGTCAGATACAGGATTCATGCAATTTGATAAACAAGGTACTGAGTACCCATTTTATAATTGGGAAACTACTTGCAAGAGAAAGAGCAATTGCAGCTTACCTATGTGCAGGTTCTAGTGCAAGCTGGACAAAGAGACTCTGTGCAAGTGACAGTCCAAAACACTGTCTGTCCAGCAGGTGAAAACTTACTAACTTTTCCCTTCCTTTCCTTAGAAGACCATTAGGAAGTGGAGAGAGGTCCCAGGAAAGTTCTGTACCTCTCCAAAAGTGACCCAGAATCCGAGGAGGTGTGCAGCATGATGGTGAGTGCTCAACAGTCTTCTTTGTAACTCAAAAATGAGATGCATTTCTTACCTGTTTGAAGCTGCAGGAGGTGAAGGGCCTCAGATCCAGGACTTCACAGGGAAGGAGCAGGAAAGCAGGGCAGAGGTAGCTGAAAGCCACAGCCCTATGATCCACACACAGCGAGTACTGACAGCTGTGTCAGAACTGCTGGACTGAGCACGTTTTGGGAAAGATGCCAAGCTTGGAGCCCTTTGGAGATGAGGCACATCCTACAAGCTGATTGCAGAAATAGTCAAGAACAGCCTGAAGTCTTGAGGGGCAAAAGGTAGGAAATTAATAGCAGGCTTTTCTATTAAGAACAAAAACTTAAGGAATAATATAAAGGAATATACATTCTGGTTAAGAAAATTCAACCCACTGTGCATGCTATAGGAAATATAAGACAGGAGGACTTCTGTGCAGCCTATAGGAAACCCAAGGCAGGAGGATTTCTGTGCAGGTTGTACAAATCACAAGGCAGAAGGATTTCTGTGCAGGTTGTACAAGTCACAAGGCAGGAGGATTTCTGTGCAGGCTCTAGGAAACACAAGGCAGGAGGATTTCTGTCCCAATTTTATTTTTTGTTTATTTTACAACACCTGCTTCAATGAAAGATTGAAACAGTCAAACTAAAACAGACATTATATGCTCATACCATTTACAATATTTACATAATATACTTTTGTTTGGTTGGGTTTTGTTTGTTTGTTTGTTTTTGCTCAGAGGGTAACTATAGCAACTTGGGACAAAAGAGCAAGTGAAAAAAATCACTGGTGTAAAAAGTTAAACTTTCCTGTTGATCATGTTGCCACCCTTGAACTAACAGAAGTAGTAAGTGGGGTAAAATGCTCTTTATAGTAACCAGGTTGACACTTCACAGTGACAGGTCCTGCTCAGCTTTATTTCCACCAAGCTTAAGCCAGCAGGGAGCAATTACCCTACCTAGAAAAGTGATGAGTGAGTTCACAAGTGATCCCTTCTTCATTTTAACACTGAAAAGCAGGATTGAACTATTGTGCACACAGATAGCAATTCATTTCAATGCTCTGTTGTATTAAATACTAAAATATATTTTACCTTCCTTATTGTACATGCTAGAAAATTACACTAAAAGTTCAAGTTTCTGGAGTAACAATTACCCTTCTCTCTCTCTCTCTAGATATATAGATATATATATATATATTCTATATATAATTTTTATACCCAGGATAAAGATATACTAGCTCCAGTATGGCTGCATCTTTCCATAATATCTATCAAAGTCCTGTACATAACCAAAGCCTCATCTAAAAGTTAGTTTTGCAGATTTTCTACTTTGGTCACGCTCTCATTTTCCTCTTTTTAAAGCACCTTTCCAAAGGTAGCTGTGCTACCTTTTCACTTCAGGCTATGCCCTGTCTGGAGGAAGGGCCAAGTCACACAGCCACGGGTGGACAAGCAGCTGGTGGTGGCATCTTTCACCTCTTGGAGTGTTCCTTCAATACAGTACTGCTAAACCAGGTCAGACAGAACTGAATTCTGCCAAATACCTGGAATTTCTTTAGGCCTGGACTTTGTTTCATGTCCTGTACACACAGTCCCAAGGCCCAAGTGCAAAAACCAGAGTGCATGGTGGTCTCAGCTGCAACAAAAAGCAGTTTGGATTTTATAGATACAGTTTATCACCCACCCAAGTGATTTATTTTTTTTCCTCATGGTTGTATCCTCAAGTAGCACCAACCATTTAAAATGTTCATCTTTAATATATATACATACATCCCTTAATAATTTATACACACTCACACACACACATAGATGTGGCATCAGGACGTTCACTGCAGGAGAAACTTATTTACAGTTAGCTGGAAAAATGAACTTGTACCTAGTGACAAATACTGAAGCAAAATTGTCATTTGTGCTTTCTGTTTGTACAGGAGTGATTACCATCCTTTCAAAAAAAAAAGTTCATATTTTTATTTGCATTGAGACATGTCACAGGATGAAAAAAAGTTATAAAACAACAAGGATTGTGGATTACAGAGCATCAGTTCTCCTTAGGGACCTCACTATTCTACAGAATAGCTGCTTTCTATAAAAATTCTCCATTCAACCACCTCTGTGGTTACCCAAGCTTGCTTGAGGATCCCCTGAATAAGTAACAACACACAGCAGAAGAACCATGCAGCCTGTCTTGCACTGTGCACCTCCATGAGTTAGAAATTTCTGCCTTCCCCGAGTAACACAGCACTTCACTTTTCACTTGGGACCTCAGAGTGCACTAAAAAAGAAAGCAATCCCCCCATTCTACACAGCAGTTAAGAGGCACAAGGAATAAGGCTTGAATGACTGTCTTCAGACACTGACCAAGCCATGGAAACCAAGGATTTCAACTCCAGGTTCTCCCTGATCTGCTTACTGGGTTGGAGGATTCAATTCTTTCAGGTAATCTCTACTCCTGGATATAGACATTGGTTTATAACCCACAGCCCAAACTGCCCAGCTGTATTTCCAGGAGTGTCCTTGTCTCTTGAAAGCATGAAATGGTTTCATAAGGGAGCTGTTCAACTAAAGGCAGAGCTAGGTTTAATCTTCCTCGTGGTTTGGCAAATGCAGGTGCTCTGCTACAGCAGGTTGGAAGTGCTTCTTTGGCCAGGCTAACAAGTGTTGGCTGGCCAACTCTCATTTCAGCACCAGGCTGCATGGAAGAGGCAACTCCTGCCTCATGTGTTGACACTTCATAACCACTGGAGACCAAAATGGTAGTGCTAAGATATACAATTTTAAATAACTCATTAAAAACTTATGGGGAAATTAATTGCTTTTCTCTTTGACACAAAGACTGTCAGGCTGGAGCTGAAGGGAGACTCAGGAGCTAAAACACAGCACATGGACTCTCACTTTGTAAGCATCTGAGTGACTTGAGGAGTAAGAGATCTGCAGTGTCCTACCAGGAAGTCATAGCCTTCACATTCATTTCAGGAAACATTCACCTTTTCCAGACCACGAGCTACTCTTGCTTTAGCTATTATTTATGTGCACGTTTGCAATGCTTTTCCACAGGTTTCTTGTAAATGGAGGTGTCTTCTAGCCCTCTGTTTTGACCAACTACCCTCTCAGAGATGGCTGCAGGATCCCTTTTTCCACCAGGTGAGATTTCAGGGTTTTGTACACACTTAGTTGTTGCTCAGGCTGAAGTATTAACAGCTGTTTCAGTAACTTGCTGGGATTTGGACCCCTGTCAAGGAAAGAAACATTTCTTTTTGTGACCACAACTCTAAAGAATCTTTCAGACACCTTTCCATTTTCCTCATGCTGCACACACAATGCCTTCCCTTTTTGGGGGGACACCAAGTGATGGATTTCTCCCAGTCTATCTGGGAGATAGTCTTAGCTCAGAGAGAACAGAAGCTAAAAAGTATTTCTATTTCTATATATGGGGATATTAAGACAGCTCATGACAAATAAGATTCACTGATTCATCCTTAATCACTGTAATAATTGTTTTTCATCCACAGATCTTTTTCTAGTATCTGTTGTCCGCCAGATAAGCTGTGTACCCCTGAGCTAAGTCACTAAGCTACTGAGCCACCTCAGTGAGGAAAACTGCAAACCATAGAACCATCAGGGTTGGAGGAGACCTCCGAGATCATCAAGTCCAACCATTAACCTGTCACTGCTGGAACTCCTAAACCAGATCCTCCAGTGCCAGATCCAGACATCTCTGAAACACCTCCAGAGATGGTGACTCCACCACCTCCCTGGGCAATATCCCAGGGCCTGAACATCCTCACAGGGAAAACATTCTCCTCACATCCAATCTGACTCTGCGCTGTCCCAGCTTATAACCATTCCCTTAGGGAAAGGTTCTTCCCCCAGAGGTGTTTGGGCACTGAACAGCTCCCCAGAGCAGTGGGCACAGCCCCAAGGCTGACAGTGCTCAGGGAGTGTTTGGTCAATGCTCTCAGGCTCAGGGTGCATTGCTGGGGTGTCCTGTGCAGGACCAGGAGCTAAGACTTCGATGATCCTGGTGGGTCCCTTCCAACTCAGGAAATTAAGCCAAGCTTTTCTAAGTATCAGCCTTATTTTTAGCTAGCCACTTAGTTATAGGCTACTTCTAAGATGAACCAAAGATAAAGCAAAGAATCTTTTGCTGATTAGGTATCTAATAAATACTGAGCCATATGCATTATGAAGCTAAGGGTATGTCTCAGTTTGGCCCCTTGATCTGCCCCTGCCCCAGGAACTGACTGTAAGAGAACTGTGATTCCCATTATTTCTTCTTGAAAGCTGATGTGGTTCAGGGAAGATGAGCAGTATTTTCAACAACTTGATTCCTTTCTTTAACCAGAGCATTCTCATCTTAACCTAAGCCAAGAAACTGAGAAATACTGGAGCTTACAGGAGTGACCTACAGGCTCTTCAGGAATCACAAAGGGATAACAAATGCTCCACAACTCTCCTGCCTCAAACCCCTTCCTACAGCTCCCTGTGATCAGTAAATTCTAGTAAAATTTCCAATCTGCTGCTACACAAAACTTCCTGGTATTTCAGGATCACAAGTTACCTTTGACAGCAGTCACAGAGACATTAAGGCCTAGCTTGAACATGACACAAATCCTAGGCAGTGACATATCATAGACCCATAGAAATTTTAGGGGTTGGATGGACCTTAGAGATCCTCCAGCCCCAACCCCTGCCCTGGGCAGGGACACCTCCCACCAGAGCAGGTTGCTCAAGGCTCAGCCAACCTGGCTGTGAACACTGCCAGGCTTGGGGCAGCCACAGCCTCCCTGGGCAACCTGGCACAGGGTCTCACCACCCTTACAGGGAAAACTTCTGCCTAACATCTAACCTCAATTTCCCTCCTTCAATTTGTGCCCATTGCCCCTTGTCCTGTCCCTGCAGTTCCTAACACAGATCCCTCTGCAGCTTCCCTGGAGCCCCTTCAGCTCCTGGAAGGTGCTCTGAGGTCTCCACACAACCTTCTCTTCTCCAGCTGAACAGCCCCAACTTCCTCAGCCTGGAAAAATACGTTTTCTTAATAGTTCTGAATTTGAAATAATCGCATAAATCATATTCAGAGACCTGCAACCTCTGCTATGCTAACATAACTCCTCTGAGGTCATTATGGTACAGTTCCTACAGATGCTTTAGGTGTTAATGTGGTAAAAAGCTCATACCTTATGAAACTGGTGATATAGACATGAACAAACGTGGCCATCAAGTACTGGCAATCAAAGCGATCCATTATCCCACCATGTCCAGGGATTGTGTCTGCAAAATCCTTTTGGGTGTAAAGGACAGGGAGGGGAGGGGAAAAGAGAAGATGGTCAGTGATTCCAATGCAACACACTCGAGATATCTCACTTGGCAGCAGCACCTTAAGGCTGCAAGTAAGCTATAGTTTCACTGCACTGAGCCAAAAGTTAGCAACAGGCTCCTTTAGCAAAGGAATTTTGAACTGCACAGGTGAGTCAAGGGGTGAGAAGAAAAAGAGGTGAAGCAACTTGTCCACAGTATTGCACAAGAGGACAGAGATAGGTCAGGTGCAGCTGTGCCAGGACTGAGTACACTCATGTGCCTACACATCAGTTTGTCGTGAGCCTCTGAAGCTAACGACTGTCATTTCTTGCCTCTGCAGGTTCTAATTCTCCTTTTTAATGCCTTTTTTTGCTTTATCCTCTACTGCTAGGTATTGCTGAAGCACTTATGACCAAGTATATTTGCTACAAGAGAAGCAGTAACTTGAGGACTCTTTCCAGTCCTGCCCAGTCACCTGCCCTTTTTTTTCACTGGGTTCTTGGTAACCATAGGTAAAACCATAATGTGTGCATCCAATAACCATCTATTTAACAGGATCAAACAGCCCTGTAGTGAAAAAATTATCACTACATTAAAAAAATCTATTTCTGATGCTAACAAAGCCCAATACACCACCTTTGTGTTATCTGGTCTTGTGTGTAGAACAGCTTTATCAGGTGAGATACTCTCACATATCTTTTTTTTGCCATCCACACTGACTTGTGTATTCCCTGGGTGAAAACCCTGACCTTAATCACGTGGGGCAACTGTCAGAAAGTGAAACTAGTCTTGTGCTGGTGCCACAGTAGCTCTCCAGTGCTGGGCAGGCATGGAGGGTCTAACCTAACCCTTGACTTCCCAACACTCCTTTGGTCATCACCTGGGGCCCAGAAGTTTTAAAAGAATCTGCTTTTTCATGTTCTGCTTTGAGAATAAGTGTTGCTTTTCAGGAGCATTCCCCCCCCCCCCCAAGACCATTCTCATATGTTAACTTTAA